GAAGCAACCTCTGCACTTGCGTACCTAGCGCTTCTAGCCGCAGTAAAGGCTCACTAAGTTTGTCTGAGCCCAAACTATGCCTTTAAGGCGGAAATTCCCAACTGTAATACTCACAGGCCTCTACCCTACCCACGGAAGGGAAGTTCAACACAACTTCATCTGGGGTTGTTGCTTAAGTGACTGCAAACTATGATGCTTCGAGTGACTGCAAACTGTGACATCGAGCCCAAGATGGAGGGACCGGGGTCCGTACTGTCCCTTCTTCTAGCTAAAATACGATTAACTTTTTCATAGTTGGCGCACAATACTTGAGACCGTACCAACTCGAACATATTCAGTGAAGATGGAAGCGTTCCGTCGGATGTCTTCATCTGACCCTTCGCTACTTGTTCTCTGAAGCCATTGATTAGTTTGAGGAAATAAGCCGATTGGTCTGAAAGATAAAGATTTCTTAATGAGTTCATTCTATTCTACACATACTTATTTACAGTAACTATTTAAAAAGTAGCAATCGTTATAAGTCGATGGTGATGAAATTTGAAAGTTGAGTTGCCATGTGGCGGTCGGTGAAGAAGAACCAAGAAATATAACTAGTGGAATGGGATCCACTTCTTCGCCCATTAACTACGGGTTTGGACGATCTCACGGCTAAGATCCTTCGTTCGTAACCCCATGGGAGATACGAGACCATAAAATAGGAAGATACGGTTGCTTTATATGAAATGCACTCACAATCAGTTGAGACTGGATGGCGAGGGTATCTTATTGAGCGCGATGCTACAGTGGGGTTCAGAGTTCACGATGTAGGCGATTGGGCGACCAAGCGATCAGGCTAGAAAGGAGAGCACGACGTATCGATGAAGTGACCAGGCAAGAACGTCATTAGACGATGGCCCAGCGGGCAGGACAGTCTGAGTCGTATGCAGTTTTACTCCATGCTCACCTACTTGTCTAATCGCCTAATCGATACGTATCCTTTCCCTCTAGCCTTATCTTCTAATCGCTCTATCGCCCGAAGCATGTGCGATTTGAACGCTGAACGTTGCCCTATCAGCACCTCCCAAGCAGTGGGTGTGGTGTTCAGCCCCTAACCACACCGCTGATAACGCTTCTTCTTCTGCGCAAGCGCCCGTCTCATCCTACTGGGTAGAACTACCACTTCCCCACACACATTTTTCCCGTTCGTGAGCGTCCAATTTGTCGCGGTCTGCCTTTGATACAATATCACGGGTACCCGACAAGAGGCCCGTCGCGCGGCAAGAAGGCAGAGTCAGCGGACGAGTCGCAGCGCGTACTGTAGTGATTTCGCGTCAAGTTAAATAGTGTACCATTGTACGTCCTACATCGCACATCACGCGCTGCGACTCGTCCGCCGACTCTGCCTTCTTGCCGTGCGACGGGCCTCCTGTCGGGTACCCCAATATCTCGAGCCAACGCTGTCAGACCCGGCGACTGTGCAATCGCAAGAGCCAGTGGCGATGGCTGCGTTCACGATCGATATAGTCCACCGAGTCGTCGACAGCAGAAACATGACGGACTCTTGCCGGCGGTCTCTATCGATCGGTCGCGGTTTGCCTAGCCGACGGCAGAAATTTGCAGTCGCGTCGCCTGGTCCGCGAATTGTACATCGCCGATCTAACATGTGAATTATTGAATGGAATTTATCGTGAATATCAGAACTTCAATAGGACCAGTTGCATTCCTTCAGTACACATCACGTCTGTCCACTTCCTCATTTGTTCCAGGCTTGTAGTGATTCAGGCTAAATTGCAACAATTTAAAGCTATAATTAGGGCACCTATCGTATTCTAGCCAATACATGTTTGTTGACGATTCAGCTGTCGAGTGGTTCGAGCACTGAATTGTTGACCATGATTTGGTTCCGGCAGCTTCGAAACTTCCACAAAAAAGGATTTCATGTGTTATAAAATTATATGATTCTCTGAAAATCCTGGGGATGCTAAGAGAGTTTGGGGAGGGAAGCCAGGATCGCGCGGCGGCTTCTCTCATCACGATGCACTGATCCTGAACTTTGAAAGAGTGGGACTGTGAACATGCTATTTGTGATTCCGAAGAATCCAACTTTGGTAACTTTGAGCCTCCTCATGCGTTTTTCCGCCGCGCCACTGCGGTCCATCTCCCCAAAGCAGCTTATCCCATTTCACTAAATCGCACTCAAGCCCGTCGGGAAGTGTCATACGAGGCACTTGATCATTTTGCCACTTTCTGGTTCGCAAGCTAAAATATCACAATATAGATGGAATAAACATTTCTTTAATTAGAAAAATTGCGGTTTGACGATCGTTAAAAATACCACCGCGCGTCGCGCCTTCTCAAACGCTATACCATTAAGCATAGCCTGGCTCAGGAGAGTGGTCTGTTGACAGTTTGATTGTACTCGCTGCATCCAGTTCAGCACTTTATCGACCTCCCTTCTTGGCTCAGTTAGTGCCACCTTGAACGGCAAATGCGGCCTCTTTCCCAGCCCCAACTTACTGCACGGGTTGGAAAACCATAGCACCGTTGCTTTGACACTTCAGCCTCGCGTGGTCGGAAGCACTCGATTTTGAGCAACTTCTCGGGACCCCGCTAAAAATCACAAATTAAAAAGGAACAATGTGCATTTTTCCTGTATTTTTAAAAGTTCTGGAGTACTACCAAGTGAGGAGGGGTACATAGGGTGTCGGCGGCTCTCAAGCGTGATGGCACAATGCCTGATCTTTTGAAAGAGCAGGGAGCACTTTGCTACTCCGTAGAATCCAACCTTTGGCATTTTTGAGCCTTATATCTGTGGCTTACACCATCGCGCCTGAGACGCCGCGCCGGCGTGTTCCCCCACACCCCAACAACTAACGGATTGGCCTATTGGGAATCCAAGCCGTTGTCGGAGTTGTTTGACCATTTGTAGCGGTTCCGGCAGCTGAAACTTTGGAGACGGTAGAAATCATATTCTCATCTATTCATGACAGTTTTGGTCATCACCGTTTTGGGTTGCTGTAGATGCTGCCATTGCTGCAGTGGTCACCTGTGACGCCTGGAGTTGTGTCACAAATGCAGACGGCTAAAATTATATAACGTCTGAAAATTGTCCTCCTATAAGTACACAATAGGGATAGTTTCAGGTTTTCATACGGGTGGTTTCCATGGATGGCGCACTGGCTCTCCGGGATGCTTGCTCCGATACCGCTCATGAGGAGTTGGGCTGACACTTATATTATATGCTGTAACTGAACACGCCGTAAAAAGTGTTTGTCGAATAATTATAGATACTATCTATGGTTGATAACGGTGAAAGTATTCAGCAAATAACTGCTCCATTACCACCAATTACGATATGAGAATTATTACAAAATTTAATTATTCTTAGAAAAAATTCTTTTCGCGAAGGAATTGAGTTAAGGAAATGTACCTCTATACCCGCTGAATAGTTGAATTTTGTGCACAAATTCGCCAAACACAACAGTAACTATTATAAAAGTAACTGTTCACTGCCTTTGTGGAATTGATAAGGTGGTTTATTGATCAAAATTGCTGTGATAGTTTTGTAAAACTAGATTGTTACTGGCAATGGTCTATGGGGGAAGGTGGGTCTACGATCGGTCACCTTACTTAACAATCATTTCTAGGGTAGTCATCTAAATCTTAATTTCAAATTGTAACCACAATATCGAAAAATGTGACGCACACCTGAGTGACATAAAACTCAGGAATAGGCCCTAAATACTGCGTTTATCCTGGTGCCGTCGAATATCTATCACTAAATTCCCCTACCCTTCATTCGCTCGTATGCTCTTATATCGATCACTTTTCAGCGCGGTGTGTTCAACTCTCACGTCAATATCCTATCTCGTTAATCTATGTAATAATTAATAATGTAATGATCGCGATCATAATAATTGTATATTATCACCAAATATTATAATATTATAAGAAAAATATGCTAGATTATTCTTCCAGCGTTCTTAGTACAGTTTTAGTTATCTTACAGTTGGTTGCTGATGAGGTTCCAGTTTCCTCCATAGCACTTGAAACTGTCGTCTCACCAATTGTACTGGTAGATTCAGCTGAAATCACACAACGATTTAAAATGATAGTTAGTATGTTAGCATGGTTATAAAACTATACAGCTGTTGCCATCCGATCGCGCTGCCAGTTCTGAAGTTTCATTGGCGGCCCCGAACAGTTGCTCCTCATTGGCAGGAACTCGCATTACGGCAAAAATTACTATTAAAAATTATTGAGTCTCTATTAATGGGGGTTGTCGCAGCTGAAACCGGGATTGAACTGGTGCTATTAGCGCTTCGTGGCGATAGCTTAGCTGCGGACCGATCCGCAAGTGGAAAGGAGAGCAAGAGAAGTAATGCACGCTGATTTCACTGTTTTCGCGGTGGGTGGGAAGCGTTGCAACGGGGGTCGATGGTTGCAGGCCCGTAAGGATTAGCGCCCTAACCGCGCAATTTTGCGACGAAGCTGGAGTGATCTAGGTAGGTACGGACCTTACAATTTCCCTCGCGGTATCCCTCCTACTAGTCGGGCTAATCCCGGGGTTTGCCTCTGAGCCGAAACTTCCGCTATTTTTGGATTCCTAAATTTTTAATAATTATTTTTCCTTGTCTCGATTACCATGCAAGAAATCCTTACTTTCCCTTTATTCGAACTTATATACTTATACAGCACTTTAGTTTTTCGGGCACTGTAGAGCATTCACCTGAGATTGGATGTGGAGGAATGTTCGCCAAGACACGAAATTCCGCAACCCCACACCTCCCCCCCCCCTGCCTCCTCAATCACACGTCATCATTGATCGTCTTTTAGTCAGTAAAATATATATAATAATAGTATAATATAATAGGATTAATATTTCCAACAATGTATGCTTTGTGATTTAGTGACAAGTGACACCACTTCCCGAGCGTACAAGCCAAGGCCAAATCGCGGATCGACCCTTGCATCCTTCTAGGGTTGGCTATTTGCTACCGGACCTTTCCATGTGCTTCCAGTAAGGGAAAACCCTTACTGGAAGCACATGGAAAGGATAATGGTTTTGGTTTAGTTCCCGTCGAAGGCATGTGGAAATTAAAGACTCAACGCTTTCTTTGAACCCCCCACCTTAAAGCTAGTTTTAAAAAGTTTGAAGATTAATTTCAAGTTACAACCTTTTAATATAATAAAAGAAAAGGATAAAGCATTTGCCGTTGATCAATCCCTTTTTGGGATGCGGCACGCATTCTACTTCCATTTGTACATTCGTAGTGGCGTTTGAATGCGATGTGGCCTATACAATGACTTGCGGGGGCCAGCCGATGTACAAGTCAGTGTTTTTATCCTCCCAGACAAGTCTGGTACCAATTAACCGACCCCGGAGGGATGGAAGGCTTGGTTGGCCCGGGCGACTCACGACCCAGGATTTGATCCCCGGACCGCTCGCGTGGTAAGCGCGCCACTTGCCACTACACCACTTCCGCCCCAAGATAATAACATAGAATTCCACAATGTACAATAAAAATGTCAGGTCATGCAGTAAACAAAATAATTTCATTGTTTATTGATTGGCCCCCACTAAGGTATGTCGCATCTGAGATGCTACTATTGCGGTTTCGGACGGAGATTGAATGCATGGCGCAATCCAGCGAACGGCTTAACCCCAAATTTTTCATGGTGCTTACGTGGGCAAAAAATGTTGATTTGACGTAGGGGAGTTCATGATTCAGCGTCGCTAGAGTAACTTTTCAAATCAGTGACGAATCAGTTGAAGAACAGGAAAAAGGAACAAATAAATCATCTGAGAAAGCATTTGTTGTTGCACTCCTTCGGTTTGCGAGAGGTGCGGGTCGAATCCTAGCCGAGGCCGAGGTTTTGCTCATGATCCAACATTCTTGTGGGAGTTCGTTGTTTCATTTTGAAATGGATATTATAATATGTTACGTAAAAAATGGGAAACGACGGAGAATTTCTGCTTAATCGAGTATTTTTTAAACTGTAAGCCTTTTTGGCTGCCCTTACAATTAGTTGCTGTAGTTTCATTTGCTGATGCGGTGGCCATGGTACTCGCCATTGTTCCGGCGTTTGCTGTGGGAGTTGCCGCTGAAATTATTCAGAAATATGAGGGAAGTTATGAGTAATTGATCTATTTCTAGTTTTCATACTGTCAGCACTATCCCATATCGTAGTCGTTGGTTACTGGAGCGCATGGTGCTTGAGGTGTTGTTGTCATATCGGGGGACGGAGCTAAAGCATCAAGTTAAAAGTTATCTCTCTCAAGCAGTTAGCATGACTTTGATTGCCATACTGCCATGCTGCCATACTTTGGTAGTCGTAATTGGCATACTCTGGAGGTGGTGTGCATGGCGGTAGAGTTGTTGAAGAAGCTGCTACGGTAGTCGAACTAGCTTCACCAGTTGTTATGGACGTTGTGGCTGAAATCAGGCAATGTTTCGAAATGTATTCATTGTGCAAAACTTAATACAAATAGCGGGACAGCCTAATTTTTCGGGGTACTAAGCCTAGGAGGGTGGGGAACCCCGGCCAAAATAAAACCTCCTCACCGCGTAGTCCCTCCCCTACTGATGCCAGGAAAGGATAAAGCAAAAGAGTAAACTTGACAAGGAATCGATTTTGCCGGTGGCCGACCGCCTACCGCTGGACTCTTTTGCTTTATAACTACGTTTAAAGCATCGTTCAGCAGGCTTGGAAGTTAGGTTCGAGATCAACCTTCAAAGGAGCTCGTCGCGATTGAGTTGGTGTATTCTGCTGTTAGAAAATTAGACAAGAAGAGGAATTTCAGTGGAAAAAAGAGCTAGAAACACCACGAAAACGACTGAGATTCTTCTTGTAAAGTCAACCGTGTTACGACGGAGAGACACTACGTCGTAAGAAGAGGGTAAACGCGAGACAGCACGTCGCGCACGAGAGCGCAGACGCCACGTGCGCTGCGATTGACTAGAATGGCAGCGATCGCAGCGGTCAAGCGAGATAACTTCCTCTAGAGCGCACTCTCAAGCCGTGACAGGACCACCACTCCTGTGATCAGGGGTCATGTTAGTACCTCTCCCGGGGAGAATTTTTGTGAGGATGTAATCGATCGGTGCTTTCAAGGAACATCCTAAGGTAAACATCGAATGCTCATGGAAGCTAGTATCCTTTTATTCGCTAGCCCTAAAACTGAACGTTACCATCAGGCAAAATCAAGATACCCCTTACATCGCGGCACTCAGCAGCTATTGCCTGTCTCTGAGAAATAGTCTATCGCAGC